TCTCCTGCTGCGTGAGCACTGACTATGAAATTGATTTGCTGTCTTTTTTACGCAGTTTTGTAATGAAAGTAATGTAAAGTCCCAAACAGACAAGTTCTGCATTTGTGTACATACAGTTAAAATAGGCATATGTCTGAAAATTAGAGAGGGGGAAATATATCAACAGAAAAGCAGTATGATACCATCAGGCCATGTTTCTTCACAGGTGGTTGTGGTGGCAGTCCTTGCTATGTTTCTGAAGAAACTGAGCTAAATCAATAGCTGGAAACCAATTTCTTTTGGGTACTTGTATGGATCAAAAGCATAAAACATGAGAAAGAAGAACCCTTCAGTGGGTGAATTTATCTCTCTACTCACTGGCGTTAATAAGGCAAGTGAAAAAGACTGGAAACCAAATCTTCAACCTGGAGCAAATTTTTCCTTTATTTGTCATCAGGATGATCAGGGCCCCTAAGATGAAGAAAACTGGCCTGAGAAAAGTCATTGGTAAACTTCTGTGGGTTTACTATTGCCAGGATGTTGCCTTAGGGCACATCAGAAATAAACTACTGTCAATGTGTTCAAGATGCTGTCATGCAGAATAATTTCATGTGTATAAAGCTAATGTTTCAGTGACTGGGAATCTTGACTACCAAGTTGAAGAACTGTAAGGGAGGATTAGACCAGGTATAAAAGAAGTGCTATCATCCCAAGCCTTGAGAAAAGCTTTTGAGCACTCCTTAGGGTTTGCTGACATCTAGAAGATGGCAGTAGGAGCACAGGATGCTGGGCTTCACTGGCAAGAACTGGTGCCTTTTCTTAAGCTGTGTTACAATTAACTATGAAACAGCCATGCTTATGGGTCTCTTCCTCAGCTTGATTCAATTCTTGGCTTTGAAACCAAAAGGCTTAATCAGCTCCTACTGTAATCAAATTATTCAAGATTTTTCAAAGAGAAAATTGCAGCAAACTCCCATTCCTAAGAAGTCAGGGTCAAAAGCTTGTTTAGAAAAATCAGCTTGACTGTTGATTACTGAGTGTGGCTGCCTTTTAGACAAGCACAATGGAGAAAAACATTCCTGACATCTGGTTCAATGAGACCCAAGACCAGTTTTTAATTGTGTTTTTGCTCTGACACCCAGTTGCATAGCAATAAGAGGGAGCATATGATACAATAATCTATATATAGGATAGGTGGGGCTGAACCTTTGACTTGAAGCCAGCTAGTCTGGTATTCCAATCTTGGTGCTGACATGAAGGCAGCCAGTAACCTTAGGCGGGTTGCTTGAAGTTCTTCCTGAATTTCAGACCCTCCGTTGATGAAAGGACCGCTCTGTAACTGTCTTGGGGTTGACGGTTGTCATAACATGATCCAGCAGGCCATTTCGTACACAGCCAGGGCATGGGTGTCCAGAAAAACTTTCTGCCCGTTCAGGACAGACACCAGGTAATTTACAGACTCAGAGAATAGTTTTCCCACTGAAGCAGTATACTGCAGGCTTCTTCCTTGCAGAAGGAAACCACCCTGGTTTGAATCTGACCACAGGAAAAGATGGAGAGCAGCCACTTGAGCACGCGGTCCTCTTCTTTTTCCCCCATAGCACAAGCAATGGTGCTATGCTTCATCACGATGACTGGACTGCTTCCTTTCCCCAGCCACCTCCTGACCTAGGTAGCACTTTGTTTTCTCTGTTTCTGAGGCTACGAAATAGAAGCTGATTCCAACAGCAAGAAGACAATCAGATGACAGACTTAGGTCCTTTTCCACACAACCAGAATTTCTGTCAGATTTTAGACCTATGCTTTGACCACAAAGATGGGTTGCAATTCCACCTGCAAGAGGGTGTTTTTATATGGATGGTCTCTGCAGCTCATTCCCCAGAGGGATGTGGTAGAAAGAAATTCTCCTACCTCTGCGTTGGAGCACTGTGTAGGCTTGCTCTAACAGGATGTTGCTGACTCAGCCAGCCAAATTTGCCATTATTCTTCCCCTTATTTTCTTGGGAAGATGTCCTAAATTGTGCAGGTCTCCAACAGCAAGGAGGAGGAAGAGGATGCTATTCTTCTTACTGCAACAGAGGAAAAATAGATGTTGTACTAGAGAAAAAATTGTGTGTTGTACTAGAGGAGCTGTTGCCTTACTACTCTGTCATTGAAATTAGAAGAACAGGGACCCAAAATCATTTCCTTTCCTTAGTCAAGGAAGAAAAAACCCATCATTTATTTAAAGGGTGCTGTTATTAGAATCCACAAAATTTTTCATGGTGATGCATTCTATGGTGAAGACAAGAATTCCTGCAAGAATGAAATACGAACCTGGATAAATTGAACTGCAGTCTTACAGCAACATATTTTATAATGCCTTTAACAGACTCTTCCAAGCTATGTTCTTCCAGTCTGTTTCCTTCCCTTCATTGTTGTGCTGTGAAGGCAAATGAGCCGTAATGCTGGACATCATGGTTTCTGAGACCCTGCTCCCATGCTCTGCACAGAACATTGTTGTCATTTAACAGGGAATCTTCCTGCTTTCCAATGTTCTCAGACCCTTATGAGGATTCAATGACCTGTGTTTTTCAACAACAGTTGAATAGCTAAATCCAGTATGGTAAGTCAAATCCTTTCCAGAAGTGGCATTTCCTCACTTCTTTCATGTGACTGTTCAACCTTACCTTTTTTCTTCAGTTTCTTTCTCTTAAAAGGAAAAGGCTAGTTCAGCTCTTCTCCTGGATTTTCTTTAAGAGAAATTTCAGGGGGAGTAGTATAAGCAGCATGGTTAAAATCCAGTCTGCTGCTTGCTGGAAACGTAGTCTTCAGCTGTTGTTTTAGTAGCAGTAAAACTTCTGGAGCTGCGTGACTTTTTTGAATGTTTTACTGTTTCTTTTATAGCAAGTGTTACAGCATGCATGTATGATGTCAAATTCCTCTTAAGAGCGTTTGATTTTTAGAGACATGAGTATGACACAGAGGGACATGAGAACCGGCTGTTGACTGAGTCTCTCAGTGCCCTTTTGTTTATGTCTGTGACCTGGTCACATAGTACAAAGAGTTTCCTGCTGAACTGCATGCAGCTGCCTGGCTGAAAAGCATGTGAGAGCTTTATTTGTCCTGCCTGCAGCCCCAGATCTTCTTGGAACAGGCTCCCAGATCCTTCTCAATGTGGAGGTGGGTGATATCACTGTGCAGCCTTCCAAAGGATCCTGTCCTTTCTGGAATACACCATCAAGGATCTGCAGGGTATTAAGGCCTGCATTTTGGTGTACTGCTCCGAATGGACTGCCTGAGTAAGACTCCAGGCTCCCTGGGACTTCAGAGCACAGCCACCTATTTTTGTCAAGGAGAGCAAATCTAAGTGAGGAACATAAACTGAGTCTTGTCTAGTTCATATCCTTTTTTCTAAAATTATTTTAACAGATTTACACACTCCTATACTCCCCCTCCCCCTGCTCCCCCTGGAATCCCTTATGCTGTTATGAAAACTACTCAGGCCTGCTTTTCCATTTTCTCTTTTTTTTTGGTGATAAGAGAGACCTACAGATCTGTATTGATCCACCTATTTCTTGAGATGGCTGCACCACATTGCACCCCACATGCAGCCTGAGACCAGAAGGAGTCAGAAATGTCTGGGTCATTTTCTGGGACACTGGCAGGCTGCTCTATGGTTTTAACTACAAACAAAAGGCACCTTGCTCTGGCACAAGCTAGGGTGCCCAAATGGCATTGGTAAACTACTTAGATGGCACAGAGGTCTGCTTGCATGTCCTGAAGGTGTCTCTGTACCACTGGGTGTCTGTCTGACCATGCTTCTGGGGCCCAGGACTCCCCCTGGTAGCTGAGCAGAATCACAGTCCTTGGTACAGAGTATCAGTGTATGTCCAGGAATAAGAGGAGGCCACAGATACAGACAGAAGAAAACATAAATGCCTCACCAAATCATAAAAACACTCTACATACTTCTCATCAGCCTTAACTGAAGGGATACACTTTTCCAGTACATCCCGTTGTTTTGCATTATCTCTTTGCTTTCTTAAGTGGGAGCCTGATTTTGCATCTCACGTTCTCCTGAAGTCATCCATACCTCCCTTTACCATCTCCTGATGTGTGAAGCACCACTCTTCCACCTCTCATCTTTGGGTTTCTTACATCCCCATTTCAATGCTAGCTAGTGATCACATGAGAATGCAATATTAGGAAATGATTTGGTATATTTTTAGTAAGGCTCAGGCTGAAATAGCAATGAGAATGGAGGAGTGCCAGCCACACATGACCAACCAGCTGTCTGTGGCCCACATTTTGGAAGTCACTGATTCAAGTAGCTGGCAATAGGTTATGGAAAGTTTCCCTTTTAGATTGCTAGTTCAAATTGACCCCAAACTCTACGAAATAGGAAGGTCATCTTGGATGTACACAACTTTATGATGTGTGAGCAGACTTCATCCAGTTTCTTTGCCTTTTAATGCAAGAGAAATATTTCAATTAGAAGTGAAATTTCTACTTTTGTGATTCTTAGCTACAGGGGCTGCCAAAACATGGGTATGACTGGAATGGAGAATCAGTGTGGCTGCAATGTGCTTCTTCCCTACTCTTTGGCACTTGGTCACGCTGTGATAAGTGCTGAGCTCTTCTGTATTGTGTAGAGGGGAAATAATCTAGCAGGTCTAGCTTCATAAATTGTAACGTGACAGCCATGTAACAAAAACCCCCACTTAAAAAATATGAATCTTCTTCCTTTTCCAACCTCTGTCATGCATATATATTGGCTAGGACTTCTAGCTTACCTCCTTTCCTGTCTTCTTAATCCATGAGTATTTTAGGAGCCAATAACTCCTTGTCAGCTGGTACCTATTGCTATATATGCATCAAAGGCAGCTGCCTACTAGAGTTCTGCATGCTTCTGGGGTTATTTAACTAGACATGAGAGTAGATCTTGCATTCCTTGTATGTCACCCATCTGTGAAATTCCTTGCACCAATTTCAACCAGGCTTGCTTTATCACATTCCCTCCTTGCCAGCCTAACAACCTGCTCTGGTCTGTTTCCTGTCCCAACGGGGAAGAGGGGACTATGTCTTTAATGTAAGTTGCCTGACTTCTTATGGTTTTCAGCTTCATTTCTCTTGCTGACCCTCAGACCATCACTGAGCATAGCAGAAAGTGAGACTGGGACCCTTCCAGGCCCTAGCATGTGCACAGGGTGGAGTGAAGAATGATTTCTATGTACTAACCACCCCCAAATCCTGAGACCGACAACCAGCCAGGTCTGCTTATTTCCCAGATGACTTGGGGAAACAACCAGAGAATCCCAGTGGGTACCCTGCTCCATCCCATTGGGAGATTTAATCTTCCTTGTAGATCTGTGGCCTTTGCCAAGCTCCCTGATCTGCATTGTCTGCCAAGGAGGTGACAGGCACCATACACCAGCTGTGATGGACGCAGTGGAACTGAGTGCTATGTGTTTTGATTGGACCCATTTTGACTCCAAAGAAAAGCCCCCAAAACAAATCTTTCAACCTCCAGGGTGGCTATTTATTTTGTTTTTTAGATATGCATTTTGTAAATCACTCAGGTGATGGCAAATTTATGTATTTGTATGGCAAATTTATGTTGTGCTGTTAGTATCAAGGAAATCTAATTGAGTGTGTAGATTTTAGACTCCTGACCTCTAAACAGAATGAATTTTTTTAAAGGGGTGTGAAATTACCTGCTCATCTCCATGAGCTGTACACTCTGTTGAATGAAAATGTCCTCCACAAAGACACAGGAAATATGAGGGGTGGGAACTTCCATTTGTCTCAGTCAGTGGTGCCTCCCTTCCCAATGCCTTGTCAGTGCCTGGGGTACTGTGCTAAGCACTGACCCAGTACATTTTAAATCTTGCACTTCACGATTTGCAGAAGGTACCAGGAAGGTGGAAAGGGCTCCCTTGTTGCTGGTTCCCATGAGGAATGGCAGTCACCATCCTCTGGAGATGGTCTCAGGGCAAGGGTTGCCCAGAGCTCACTGAGGACAAAGAAGAGGCAGGGAGGAAAAGGATGAGTTTGTTTACTAGCCTTGGACCTCGTTAGGACTGGGAGCATGTCTGTGTAACTCCAAGTCTTGTCCCTTTTCTCCTCCTCTTTCACACCATTACCCTTTTCCCAGACCTTCCCTGCCTTCCTACACAGATCCAAACTTCTCCCCCATCCCTGTTATATGTGCTATTTATTTAGCTTCAGTGCAATCTGAGCTTTCTGCTCTGTTGGTTTGATGTCTGTCAAACTGCAAGCTCCTTTGACAGAGGCAGACCATGACAACATGCTTCGTTCCTCTTCCTGTTTTTTCCATGCTTTCTGCCGGCGGTCAGGTTTGAACTGACACTGGCTGGTTGTAGGTCAGGTTCAAAAGCATCAAGCACTGTCTGAACATCCCCTCGAGCTATCAGCTCATGTGAAAACAAGTAGTCTAGGAAAACTCTGTGACTGCACAGAATAATCCCTTTTATGACTGAGCTCTTAGGGTTGGCAGGCTTCTCATTTAGTATGGGTTTTCCCACATTTTAGCTTGAAATCCTGCATCCTGTGGTAAAGGACAGGCTTACTAACTTCCCTGCTCTTTTTTTTTTTTTTTAATAAATCATGTCAATTTTTAGTCTGAAATATGGAAAATAGTCACACCTTACCCTTTTTCTCACAGTTTCCTTGGTTGCCTGAAAGCTGCTACCTTGCCCTGCAAGTGGAAGTGGTTATAAGGTGGCAAGAGGGAAGTGTGGGTACATGAAAGATAAATGGGGATCTGCACAGAGAAGTGCTGTGGCAGTGCAGTGGGAACATCCCATATTTTTAAAATGCCAGTTTTAAGAATACTGATTCCCATTTTATTTCCCAAAAATGAATGGGTGCAACAGAGCATCTTGTGGATTTTTTAAGTGATTAAGACACAAATGTGAAGGGAGAGACAAGAGCTACAGCTACAGTGTGTAGGCACTGAGACTGACCCCCCGCTCTCCCAAATTTGTTGTACAGTCTTCTTAGGAGCCGCTTACATAAGTGTTCCCAAATCTGGTGCACACAGCCTACACCGCTGCCCACAAAGTTCCTAACCTTTGTGAGCATGAGGATTTTAAAGTCTTTGTAGGACTGAATATTTAAACAAAGATGAGCTTCTCTGCTGTAGTTGTGGGGGAAAGATTGTTCTGCTTGAGTCAGGGCACACATCTTTAGCCCATTTAATTCAGCATAAGCTTGAATGAGACTCCGCTAATTGACAGCTGCCAAGGATCTTGCTTTTTTTAAAGGAACTTGTGGGGTAAAAGGAAATGATGGTCAGTGGCTTAGAATTCATAATACCCAGCTCCTGTGTGTTTTCAGTATGCAGTATTCATAAGCCATCACTTGATGAATATGGCCTGAAGTGATGCAGACAACTTATTGTAATTTTTTGCTGTGCTCTGTTTGGATTTATTTCCTAGTCAGTCAGATGGGACACCCTACAGACTTAGCACATGCATTTTGAATTTGTAGACTAGTACTTATGCTGAATTAGGAATTCTTTATATTTCAGAGAAGAAATAGCCTAAATTGCCAGAAATAACTGTAATAACAAACTGCTTGTTTCCTGAATCGGGCACATAGCGCAAACAGCCGTAGCCTTGGTGCACCCTGTTTTTTAATGAAAGTAACAGGGATGGGAAACTGTCCAAGAAGAGTTTGTTCCCTTGGTTTGTCTGATTTTCTTTAAAAAACTGTCTGTTACTATGAAGAAATATAATTACAGAATCACTTTAAAACTGTGGGTCTTCTGAAGAGGAAAGTGGATGGGGCTGTATGTAAACATACATACATACAAACCAAAAAGCATGTGGATGCTGAAATTTCTGTTCGATGGGATGTTTTTGGGTGACTCTCCTAATTTTGTTAAACCTGATATATAGAATAGGACTTTCCAGCTGACAGTCACTCCCTTGCTTGTGTGTCTCTTTCAGACATCCTCCTCCGTTATCCTGTCATTTGCTTCACAAAGAATTTTCAGGGTGCTCTGTTCAGGTCAGCAGCTTGGGTGGGTTTGGAGAAGTCTGCTAGCCTTCTGTAGAAGAGCTCACATCAGATGCTTTTATGGCATTTCTCTCTTCAAAGTCCTCACCTCACAAGAATGTTCTCTCTGACTGTGCCTTTCCTTTCTTTCCAGGACCTTCTGCTTCTCTTTATCATATTTCACACAGGCTGTGAGACTTCCTTCTTTGAACCACCAAAATGTCTATAGTGGTCTGCTTAGAAAGGCTTGTGAATAATAAAGTGCAGGCATAACTTTTCAGGCCTTAGTCTCTGCTGACAAATGTACAGCCTACAATTGTGACAGCAATGATCGAGATGTGAGCAGTAATGCAGAGGTGTGATGTCACATGTGTTTATCACTGTGGGGTAAGGGCTGTCAAAGCACCACCCAATCCCAGCAGAAGCAGGGCAGACCTACCTGCATCCCCTAAGCAGCCTAAGAGTTTCTCAGCGTGCACCTTGTTATGAGGAGATCTTGACTTCACTTGGCTTCTGCCAGCTTGAGACAGAAGTTTTTACTTGCCCTGTGGCAGACTGTAGCAAACAATAAGTCTGATTCCCCATGAACATGAGTTTGTGCCAGGCAAACATACCACAGGCTCCCATGACAAAAGTGGTGGCTCATGTTGACTGAGAGCGAGGGAGGGAGGAACCCCGGGAACGATCCCTCTTGTCAGCTGTCCTGTCAATTGTGATCAGTCAGCTGCTGCTTATGATGAAACCGGTCTTTGGGAGATTTCATTCTGCATGGCTGGCCAGCTGGTATGTGTTTCTGTCTGGGCTCTGCAGCCCTGGCCCTCATTTGAGGAGAGAGGTCTTTGTTCTCTATCAAGCTTAAAATAGTTTGGCATCTGCTGGTTTGTGTTGTCTGCTCGACCATTTGTTGTATTAGAGAGCTTCCTTCCAATCACAGCTCCTAAACAGTCTGTTCCCCTGAATGGTTTCTGCTCTAAAAGGTAAAAGTAGATGTGTGCTGCCTGTAAACACCCAAGCCTGCTCTCATTGGAGAGGTGAGGATATTTGCACACAGGAGATTGAAACCAGCTACGAGGCTTTGCTTCTGATTAACTGTTTGGTCACACTACAATTTCTTACCACCAGGGCATGATAGTGATGAAAAGTACAAGTTGTGTAATCCATACTTCCACTGCTTTGCAGGCATCAGAGCTGACGGACAGAAAAGACTGGTAGCGATTAGATCTGCAGCAGTGATTCACAGCCCAGGATTATAGTTTCTGCAATTTGCTAGACTTTGTACAACCCAAATATCAGATAACAATTTACATTTTCCATGGAATGCTGTCTCAAGAACATATTGATTTATGCTGCATCAGATTACTCAGGGGCTGGAGAAAGCCAAAAGGAGAATTTTACTTTTTTCCTGCTGACATTTGAAGAACAGGATTCCACATCTTCACACCTAGCCCTGTGTAACCTTCAGCAACCAGCCTTGGAAAGTCGCTTAAGAATTATAATTTTTTAAGCTTTCTTTAAACAGTTAAGAACTCTCTTCAAATCCCTTGAAGGCAAGCATTAGTCTTTTCCTGCCACCTTTGCTGCAAGCACTATGTGTATTGAGGTGGGGAAAAAGATGGAAAATTTGCCCTCTGGGTTCAGCATCGCTGTCTCTGCCTCAGATGGATCCAAGTGTGCTCATTTGCATCCCTGGACTCAGTGATCAAACCTGGCTAGAAAAGCTGCCATCTTTAGTGTCAGCAAGCTGCCTGGAGAAGTGTGGGTACTGCTCACATGGGCTTTCTGAGATTTGGGTGTGATCAGTCATGCCTTGCCCTCTCTACTGGCGCTATCAGTTGTAGCACTTGGTCTGCACCACATTGATGGGAAAGTGGCCCTGCCATTGCACAGCCTGCTGCTCCCACCCTCTCAGTGTAGTTAATGCTGCAGAAACCAGACTTCCAATGTTTCATTTTTTTTAAATGATTTTTTTTCAATTTTCATTTGCCATTACTCTCAAATGAAACAGTTTCCAGCAGAACAAATTAAACTGAGACATTAAAAATCTTAATGTTCAGGCACCTTCTTGAA